TCCATACATACATAAATACATACATCTATACATACATCTATACATACTTCCATACATACATCTATACATACTTCCATACATACATACATCTATACATACATACATACATCTATACATACATACATACATACATACATACATCTATACATACATACATGTATACATCTATCCATACATCCATACATCCATACATACATGTGTACATCCATACATACATCCATACATACATGTGTACATCCATACATACATCCATACATTCATCCCTCCTTCCCTCACATAACCTGTCAGTTCCTGTGACTGTTATATACTACATTAAATATACTAGATTAAATTTTACAGCAATATCTGTGAACTTCCCAAAAAAGCATTTTTGTTAGCTAAATTTACCTAGCTCTGGCAGCCATCTTAAATTAGGACTATTTACATTAGTTAGTTGTAGATGTGTGTAGGAAGAGGGCCACTTGCATCATGAAGGACCCCACTCACCCAGCACACAACACTTTTTGCCCCGCTCCCCTCAGGAAGGAGGTTGAGGAGCATTAAGTGTAGAACCACTAGACTGAGGAACAGCTTCTACTCTGAGACTCATGAATCTCTAACCAGAATAATCACTGTGGAAAATCACATCATGTTGCTGCTGATCTGTTTCATGTTGCTGCTGATCTGTTTCATGTTGCTGCTGATCTGTTTCATGTTGTGTTCATGCGTGCTCATCTGCTGTTTTTAAGATATTTTGCTAACAGATGCAACACACACAGCCTTAGTCTTGGCGGTGGGGACTTACATCTGTCACCATGTCGATGAGACTCTTGTTGCAGGCATCAAAGCGAGTCTTCCACGAGTGACACTCTTTCTCCAGCTTTTTCATTTTCTTCGCCATCTACAAAACAAAAGAGCGCACGATGAAACTTAAAAACCTTCATGGTTCAGGGAAGAGGGTGAGGTCTCAGACGGGTCAAAGCTTCTTACTTTGTCCATGTCCTGTTTGAAGCTGCTGTACACGCTGCTGCTCTTTGACACCGTGCCCTGGATCTCATCAAACTTCTGGGAGTACATGTCGAGCTGAAGACAAGTGACAACAAACTGTGATTCATCTGCTCGACGGGGCGGAGGAGAGACGCGCTGCCCACGACGAGCCGTCGCCCTACCTGGCTCCTCATGTCGCCTTCCTGCTCCCTGAGGACTTTCAGCTGGACTTTATACTCGGCCGTTTGCTTGACGAGCTGCAGGACGGCGACACGTTTCGTGAAAACGATCAGAACTGCCGAGTCAGCATTTACACAATTCTTGTCCCATAACCGATTTTGGAATCCAACTAATTCAGCATATTTTCAGCTATTTGAAGCATTTGTTCTGCTCAGCTTCTAAAATTGCTGTTTGAAAGTTGCTCGAGCGTATTTCCTCCTAAAACCAAACGTTATCATGCAAACAATGAAATGAAACGGTAAAAGTTGATTCTGGTTTATCACCTCTGCATACGTTCTGCTGTTTATTTATCCATAAAACAAAATGTTAGCTGATATAACTTTAGTATCTCTAACTTTTGAATTATTTAACATTTACTAAAAATAAATTTCACACAAATATATTTGATCTTTCAAAAGCGTTGATCTCTGAAATAGACTTCAGCTTACATCTGTCTTTGTTTCCTTCAGTCCCTTTTAACGTTTAGCTACTATTTTGTTAGTTTTAGCTTTTAGCTACAGCTTGCTAATTTTTATTTTTTAAAACCGCTAAATTTAGTATTTGGCTACAGTTCGCAAATTTTAGTATTTTAACTATTGTTATGCAAGTTTTCAATATAGCTCTGTTGCATTTAGTTTTTAGCTATGAGTTGGCTAATTTAAGCTGTTTAAGCTATAGTTTTACTCATTTAAAATTTTAGCTAAAGTTTTGATACGTTAAGCTTTTAGCTACAGCTTGCTAATTTTAGTTTAACTATTGTTATGCTAGTTGTAGCTTTTAGCTCTGCTATATTTAGTTTTTAGCTATGATTTTGCTAATTTAAACTGTTTAAGCTATAGTTTTACTTGTCTATTGTTTTAGCTACAGTTTTGACAAGATCAGCCTTTAGTTGAGTTTTTGTTGAGTTTCTCTTTGGGCTGTTTCAGCTGTTTTAACGTTAACAGTTCTTTAAGAAAAGTCTGTCGGCTCTGAGTGTCCGTACTCCGTTTGTACAGAAAATGGATTAAACTGGGTTTGGTTCAGTTACTGGCTTTAGTTTTAATTCTTTTTTTTTTTCAAACAGCTCTTTGAGCTTCCAGATTTTCCACTTTATAGAATTTAGTTTTTTATGTGAATCGGCTGTTTGGAACTAAACTTTCAGCTCTTAAAATGATGTAACTAAATGTCACACTGCAGCTACGTTCTTCAGCTCAGTTTCAGCTTCTTCAGCCGACAGTTTAGCCCTCAGCGTATCTTCAGATAAAAGCAGCATTTCTTTAGCTGCACATCAAACCACGTGCGTGACGTTTGGGGCTTACGAGCTCCTTCTCCAGCTTGTGCTTCTGCTCGGCCTCCTGCAGAAGCAGGTTGGCCTGCGTCAGTTTGGTTTCCAGCAGCTTCTCCTTCAGGTCTCGGTGCTTGAAGACCTTTTCCAGGTTCTGGAAGACATGCAGCTGAATTTGAGCTGTTTTCACTTTTCTTGGCTGGACTACTGTTTCTAACAGATGTGAGACCGGAGAGAAATGTGCAAATGATTCATGTTCCCAGATGTGTGTGGGGTCAGGGTTGGGATGTCTCCAGCTGCTCTGTGTTTGTCGGCTCCGTGAGGTGCAGGCTCCTTACCGCCTCTCGCTGGTCGTACTGCGTGATGAGCGCCTTGAGCTTTTCTGCCAAAGCGCCGTTCTCCTGACAGAGCTTGGTGTTGCGGCTGCTGTGTTCCTCGATTTGGGCTTGAATGTCACAGAGCGTCCCCTGGAAGTGGGTGGTGATCTCCTTCCTCTTCAGGTCGTCCTCCCTGCACCTCTGCAGGGTCTCCTCCTGCCAGTTTTAGAAGCACAGTTGGGTTTTTAGTTTGGTGACGTTACAGGACCTGAATCCATTCTCATATGGCCCAGCCAAAGAACGGACTTTAATGTCCATTCATCACTAAATGCCAACAAAAAATGTCTCCAAATGAGTCAGTTTTACAGATATTGACCTAACTGTTGGTGTGGTAGTAGCTGCGAATGACCAGCAACATTTATGTTTGAAGTCTTCTTACTTATTTGAAGTAAACTCCGTCTGTCTGTTGGCAAACAATGTCATGAATCATGAACCAAATCAATGATTCCATTGTTGCTCCATTAACACCACGGCAACTGTGGAGGCAACTCAATTCAAGATGTCCGCCACAGCTGATTGAATTTAGCAAATCCACAAATGACTGAACCTCAAATATATGAATCTATAATTTAATGTAATTGTGGCTGACAGTCATACACTAGGCCTGTCACGATAACAAATTTTACTGGGCGATTAATTGTCTCAGAAATTACTGCGATAAACGATAACATTGTTTGAAATTTGACAATAATTAGTAATTGTCAAATTCATGAAGAAATGTTTTGTTTTGAGTGTAGTACCTTTTTTCAACCACCGGATGGCATTATAAGACTGTTTGAACTGAAGGATGGATAGTGAGGGAGCGAGCAGCGTGTTTTTAAGAAAAATGGGAGGGAGGCCCCTTGACGTGACATGGGCTGTCTCTCTTCGGTTCTCAAAATGGCGGACGCTCCGTGTGGTTTGAGCTCTTTAGCATTTTTTACACAAAGCTTGTAATTAAAAATCAGTAAACAAGTTCTCAGCTTCTTTTTGCAGAGAAAAACAACTTTTTACACGAAGACACAAGTTTCAACCGTGAATTTCGGAGGTCGGCCTGTTAGCTTAGCTCGTAGCTTAGCTTCTCAGTTTAGCTGCTTTTAACATCCAACAACACAATTTTGGCCAGTTAAAACAGATTTTGGAGAACAAAGAGAAAGGGAGGGGTCCGTGAAGAGCACCGGAGTTGAGTCTTTTGTCATCCAGCGTCTTCAGTAGAAAGAGAGACGCGAAGAAACGATAACGCCGATAAATAGAAATTATCCTTTTAATTTATCATGCCATTAACTGATTTATTGTTTATCACAACAGGCCTATCATCCACATCGCATAATCTGACATCTCATTGATTAATTGCCTTTTGTGCCATGTGTGCACGTTGTGACGTGGTAACTTGAAAAATGAGGCACCGACCTCCATCTTGATATGCGGCTGCATCGAGGTGTAAGGAATCTCACCACTGGAAATTTGGATGCCACATCAAAATCCAAGATGGCCACTAGCCACACCTATCTTTTGAGGAAACTATGCTTTTTAATTTTCACGTTGCTTAAAAGTATAGTTTCTTAAAACGTTTGGGGTGGCAGAAGATGAATTTCTGGTGGCTAAGGCCACCGTTGGCCACCCCCTGGCTCCACCACTGTGCCTTATGGCAGATAAAGTTCTCCCTTCACTCTCCAGGATCCGTCACGCTGCACCGCCTCAGACAAGCTCACAGTGCAACTCCTACCCACTTGAATCTACTGCACAAAAACCATCAAGGTTTACTTCATTCCCTGTCCCAGTCCAGAAGAACACTAATCTCGTTTGGTCTCACCACCGATGACAGCAGCTGAATGGCGCAGATCTGTTTCTAAAGCCACCTGTGAACAGGCGAAGTCAGAGCCGAAGTACCTTCAGAGTCTTGTTGTGCCTCTGCAGCTCCCTGCAGAGCCCCTCCAGTTTACTGCGGGCCAGCACGGCCCGGCTGTGCTCGCTCTGCAGCTGGTCCTTCTCCTTCACCACCTGGAGCAGCTTCTTCTGCAGGCCCTTCAGCTGCTTCTGGTCACTGCGGTGCTCCTCCAGCTGCAGACAGAGCCAGGTTGTGCATCTTCTGCAGGCGGGGTTGCTCTTTGTGTGTTTGTGCTCGCCCACTCACCAGCTCGGCGTGCTTCTTGATGATGGCCTCCAGCTTCTGCTCAGGAGAGTCCAGCTTGTTGAGGCTTTGCATCAGCAGCATGGCCTCCTTCCCTGAACAGCCAAACGTTCAGCACAATCATCTGGAACTGTCCGAACGCTGAGGCAGCGCTCGCTCAACCCTTTTCCTGTTTCATTTTTTACTTCAGCTACTTCAGAATCGCTTTTCAACCATTGATTTATCAAAAGATCGGCTCCTTCAGGAATCGTTTATGACTTGAGATGTTTGTAACTTTTGTACTTTTTAACTCTATTTACTAAATCTCAGTTCCTTCAACACCAGCTCTTAAACCAGCTTCAGCACGTCGGCTCTACTTTAGCCTCCTTGTGCTACTTTTAGCTTTTAACTACTTTTTGGCTAAATTTAGCAATTTGAACACGTTTAAAGTTTTATAACTTTCATAAATTTCAGCTTTTAGCTCCTTTTGTAAAAAGTTAAGCCTTTAGTTACAGTTTAGCATAATTTTACTTAATGATTTAGCAAAATCTCTTTTTTTACTTTGTTTTTTGCAAAATGTTTGCTTTAGCTTCCATTTTGCTTATTTCAGTTTTAGCTGTTTTTTTTCCCCAATACAGATTTTAGATGTGGTTTTTCACAGATTTGCTCTGTTTATGGTTTGTTAAATTTCGTTTTTACACACCATTGTGTTAGCTTAAACTTATAGCTACTATGTGGTTAAAGTTTTAGCTTTTTTTTTTTATTTTAGCTTTTATTTACAGTTTAAATTTTTGCTTTTAGTTATGATTGTGATAATTCACATTCTATTCCTATTTTACCTACAGCTTTGCTAAAATTAGCTTTTACCCATTCATTTGCTAACATAAGCCTTTAGTTGCTGTTTGGTTTTAGCAACTGTTTTGCTAATTTTAGAAATTGGCTATGGTTGCACTAAAAACCCATTTTACCAAAAGTTTAGCTAAATTTAGCTTTTATCTACCATTTTGTTAACTTTAACCTTTATATATCGTTTGGTTAATTGAAGCTTTTAGCATCAGTTTTGCTCATATTAGGATCTACAGTGAGGAAAATAAATATTTGAACACGCTGCGACTTTGCAACTTCTTCCACTTAGAAATCATGGAGGGTCTGAAATGTTCATCTTAGGTGCATGTCCACTGTGAGAGACTGAATCTAAATAAAAAAAAAAAACAGAAATCACAAAGTATGATTATTTAATAATTTATTTGTGTGTTACTGCTGCAAATAAGTATTTGAACACCTGTCAATCAGCAACAGTTCTGGCCCTCAAAGACCTGTTAGTCCACTCCACTTCTTATTCTAAATCAGAAGCAGCTGTTTGAGGTCGGTAGCTGCATGAAGACACCTGTCCACCCCACACAATCAGTAAGACTCCAACTACTAACATGGCTAAGACCAAAGAGCTGTCCAAAGACACCAGAGACTAAATTGTAGACCTCCACAAGGCTGGAAAGATCTACGAGCCAATTGCCAAGCAGCTTGGTGAAGAAAGATCAACTGTTGGAGCAACTGTTAGAAAATGGAAGAAGCTAAACATGACTGTCAGTCTCCCTCGGACTGGGGCTCCATGCAAGATCTCACCTCGTGGCGTATCAATGATCCTAAGAAAGGTGAGGAATCAGCCCAGAACTACACGGGAGGAGCTGGTCCATGACCTGAAGAGAGCTGGCACCACTGTTTCCATGGTTACTGTGGGTAATACACCAAGACGTCATAGTTTAAATCATGCATGGCACGGAAGGTTCCCCTGCTTAAATCAGCGCACGTCCAGGCCCGTCTGAAGTTTGACCAGGACCATTTGGATGATCCAGAGGAGTCATGGGAGAAAGTTCTGTGGTCACATGAGACCAAAATAGAACTTTTTGGTCTTAATTCCACTCGCCGTGTTTGGAGGACGAAGAATGATGAGTACCATCCCAAATACACCATCCCTACTGTGAAGCATGGGGGTGGAAGCACCATGGGTGTTCTTCTGCACACGGGACAGGACGACTGCACTGTATTAAGGAGAGGATGACCGGGGCCATGTGTTGTGAGATGTTGTGGAACAACCTCCTTCCCTCAGTTAGAACATTGAAGATGGGTCATGGCTGGGTCTTCCAACATGACGATGACCCGAAGCTCACAGCCAGGAGAACCAAGGAGTGGCTCCGTAAGAACATATCAAGGTTCTGGAGTGGCCCAGCCAGTCTCCAGACCTGAACCCTACAGAAAATCTTTGGAGGGAGCTCAAACTCTGTGTTTCTCAGCGACAGCCCAGAAACCTGGTGATCTACAGAAGATCTGTGGAGGAATGGTCCAACATCTCTGCTGCAGTGAACCTGGTGATAAACTACAGGAAACCTTTGACCTCTGTCACTGCAAACAAAGATACTGTACCAAATATTAACATTGATGTTCACAGGTGTTCAAATACTTATCTTCAGCAGTAACACACAAATAAATTATTAAATAATCATACTTTGTGATTTCCAGATTATTATTTTTTTAGATTATGTCTCTCACAGTGGACATGCAGCTAACATGAACATTTCAGACCCTCCTTGATTTCTGAGTGGGAGAACTTGCAAAGTCGCAGCGTGTTCAAATACTTATTTTCCTCACTGTAACTAAAGTTAAATTACTGCAGATATTCTGTTTTACCTTCAGTTTTGCTAAAATGATGTTTTGGCTACAGTTTTGGTGATTTTAGCTCCTGTTCCATAACTTTAGCTGTTTAGCTGATGGATAATTCTTTGCCCAGTTTATTGCTGGTCACGCGGCCCTCAGTTTTCACAGGGACTGTTCTTTCTCTGCACCGACACGTCATCTCCAAACAGAGTTCTACAGTTTCAGGCTGGATCCAACCCAGTTCAGCTAAAATCAGTGAAGCATTCTGGGAAAACGAAAACCCACCAAGATTTTTGAGCATCTTCTTCTCCAGTTTTTGCTCCTTGCGGGCGTCGGGCTCTTTGGCTGCTGTGACCTCCTCTGAGTCGTCTGTCTCAGCTGGAAGCTGGGCCTCCTGGTACGTGCTGAGGATGTCCTCCAGCTGCTGGTCCAGGTCCTCCGTCAGGTCCATGTGGCGGTCGTTGACCGGACCGGCGGGCGCAGCGCTGCTCTCCATCGTTCACAGCTTCTAACACAACAAAGGGACAGTCGGCTCTGCAGCAGAGCCACGAACGAGTTCATTCGTTTCTGAAGAGGCAGGTTTGCTCCATTTATCACCCGCTGCTGAAAGGCAGCAGTTGTCTGTCTGTTAGCAAAATATCTCATGAACAACTGAGGAGTGTTGTGACTTATGAGGCACCAGCTCCAGGACGTTTGGCGCTGAAGAGCTGAGAGTCTACAACTAAAGATGGACTTCTCCACCAACCGTGCTTTGGTTATTTCAGCAACACCAACTTAAACCTCATCACCCAAAATAAAACTTGAGCCAGAGCGACTTCAGCGGCAGAACGTCTGACGACACAGCTCTGTGCACAAGTTTCCACCCCTCACTTCTTTCACTTTGCTTCTGAAGAGCCAGAATTTATCTTTGTGCTCCGACGCAACTCCTATAAACTTTCAGAAAGTTTTCATTGAACGGACTCCTGCATTCACTTGTAGTCCATTCAGTTCAAGATGGCTGCCACGGCAAACTCATGAAGCACTAACTCATCATAAATAAATACGGTGCGACGTACAGTTTGGATTTTTACCTGGCAACCCATTTTTTTTTAAAGGAACTTTTCTTACGCCGAGATGCAGCCACGCACCAAGATGGAAGCTGGTACCCTGCTGTGTGTTCTTGTGCTCGCAACGTGCACGGAATGACGGACGGACTCGATGATTGATTAGACCAGGGGTCTGCAACCTGCGGCTCTGGAGCCACATGCGGCTCTTTGGTCCCTCTGCAGCGGCTCTTTCAAGCTTTGACCAAAACCGACGTAAAACTGAATTTTATTGGTTAAACAACAAAAAAGACGAGTTCAAACAGTTTTTCTGTCATCTCTTTTGCAAATATGTGAAACTGGAGCAAGTAAAACATACTTTAACTTGATGTTTATTTCTTTATACTGTATAAAGAACTGTCTGCATAGTTTATAGATTTTTTTTAATTAAAAAAAAGGTAAAAACTGATTTTTTTCCCGCCTCTTTACAAGAATCTGGTCTTTTTCTTTAATAAATGTTAAAAATCTTTAGATTTTAGCTTTTTAATGGGACCCTTACTGGCCACAAAAGCCCCCTCCAGCAAACCTAAAGTGGCCCATGGGCCACCAGTTGATAACCACAGGTGCAGCAGGTTGTTGCGGCTCCGGACACGTTTAATGTCGTGAACGAAAGTGGAAGAAATGGCTCTTGTGATCCTAAAGGTTGCAGACCCCTGGATTAGACGGATGGTTTGGACGGACGGATGAGTGGAGGGTGTTTCCAACCCTCTCTTCACTCCACGATGAGGAACAACTACCGGATGAATTTCAGTGATGGTGTCAGACTCTTGTAGATCCCGCTCAGCTGCTTCTGCACCACGTTTAGTCGAACATCTGTTCAATGATTGGCTGTGGCAGCCATCTTGATATGGAAAGGCTCCAAATACTAATAAGTCTCAGATATTTATTCAGTGTGGTTCCTGAGATATTTTGCTAACAGACAGAGTTAACTCCAACATCTAATGCCACAGTTTTAATTAACAGTTTTGCGCAGTGGTGTGTGTTTGGAGGATGCTCAGCTACTACCATGTCAAATTTTAGCTCATTATCAATTTTTACGTTTTCTAAAGTAAGTTGGCATGGCAGCCATCTTGTATCAGATTATATTTAAAAGTTTATCAGTATTACATCCAATGATTCCTGTGTAAAGTTTTCTGTAAAATCTGTCCAGAGGTTCATTAGATATTTTGCTGACAGGCAGTGTTGACTACAATGGTTAAATGGACTCGATCTGCTGGTAATCAAAGTATTTGTTGGGAATGACTCTTGGCGACTACCACACCAAGTTTTAGTGCAAAATAAATAAAAAACCCCGAAGCTGTACACCTTTGTGTGTTCAAGATCACTCAGCTGTGGCGGCCATTTTAAATCAGGTTGGTTCCAAAATTGAATCAGTTGTAGATTAAAATCCAATTAATGCTCTCTGAGGGTTTCATTAAAGCCCACCTTGTGGTTCAGGAGATATTTTGCTAACAGACAAACCGTAAGACATGCCCCCCTGGCAGTAGGCCGGTCTGCTCTCTGGGGTTCTGCAGACTCTGAGCCGGTTCAGGTGCATAAAATTAGCACAGCCTTCACGCTGCCGGTGCTTTTCACAAGCGGAGCACCTGTTCAGGCCCGCACGCTATTTTAGGAACTTCTTAATATGGACACAGCATTTATTTATTTATTTATTTATTTATTTATTTAGTATTATCCACTCCCTTTGATGTCCGTGTCGACGGTTATGAAAGTGAAGTGTTTTTTTTCTGCAGATCCAAATCAAAGTGGAAAGTGATGCGAGTGTCGGTGAGAGGAAGCTGTTCAGATGGAAATTTACCAGCGTTCCCAGTAAACCGTTCAGCCGAGCGCGCCGGTCATTACGAACTCTTTCTCTCTTAAAGGACTGAAACGTCTCGATGAGAACAAAGTCCGGTTCATAAAACACGTGTTAGTTTGTTAGGGAGAAGGAAAAGCCTGGAGAATTGTGAAAAACCAGGTTTTTGATGTTATTTATGTAGAAATGCAACAAAGACGCAGACAGGAGGGTCTTACCAGGACCGAGGGCCGGAGGGAAGCGTGGAGGGACTGGGACTGAGACCACAGCTGTGATAAGACCCCCCAAAATAACCCAGAACTGGAGCTGACTCTGAGCAGAGAGGGAGGACTCTGGTTACTGTCGCCGGTTCTTCTGTTGGACGTTTCGTCTCGTTTCACGTCCACACCTCCTCTTATTTTTTATTAAATCTTCTTACTGGGCGGGGAGCTCTGTTGCTGCCCGCTTTTTATTTTCATACATTTACTGAATACTTGTTTAGTCGCGGTTTAGCTGTTTGTGCCCAAATGTTCGGCTCGTTCAGGAAAGGTGCCGCAATCTTTGATGTTTGCAACTTTTGCACTTTTTCAAATATTTAGTTTTGTTTCCAGATGTTTTTCCCACAGAAACGCAGCGACAGCTCCCACTTTAGAAACGTTAAACTCAACAGAAACGTTAAGTCGGGTCCTCTGGACGGATTCTTCTTGTTGAAACGTTTCGTCTTTCATCCGAAAGACTTCGTCCGACTGAGTCCTGCCTCAAACTCTGTTGATCAAACCAGTCTGCTGGAGATTCCAGAAACCAGCTGTTCACGTGATGAAGGACCATCAATGATGGCCGCTTGCTATTCACAGAACCAGCCTGAGGACGAACCTGGCCCAATCTTCTGTCTCCATTTTGGCTCTTCTGCTACTTTTAGCTTTCAGCTAGTCTTGCTACAATTAGACTGTAGCCAACCTATTGTAATATTAGTTTTAGCTTTTTGCTAAACTTTGCTTCTTTTAGCCCGAAGCTAACATTTAGCTGTGTTTAGCATTTAACTACTGTTTGTTACTTTTAGCTAACCTGTTGTCATTTTTAACCTTTTTTTAGTCGTTGCTTAACTATCATTTTACAACTTTGGGTTTTTAGTCCGGCTGTAGTATCTTTTAGATTTTAGCTATATTTTTGCTTATTTTAGCTAGTATTTTATGTTGGACTTCTAGATGGTGTTTTGATATTTTAGCTATCGTTTAGCAATTTTAGGGTTTCAGTTAAAACTTTGCTTCTTTAAGCTTTTATTTTGTTTTAGCTAGTATGTTTGTTTTTATTTAACCTTAAGTTAATTTTAGCATTTATTTTGTTACTTTTAGCTTTTAGCCAGCCTTTTGCTTCTTTTAGCCTTTGGCAACTTTGGAATTTTGATAAAGTTTTGCTCGAAATAAAAACAAACGAAAGCGGGAAACAGCAGAAATGTGAAAAATAATTAAAAAATAAAAAAAAATAATAAAAAAAGATAAAATTAGTAAAGAAATGCCTAAAAAGTAGCTTAAAAATTATAAAAAGTTTATCAGAAAGAAAAAAATAATAATTGGCCTAAAGAAAGGGGAGAAAAAAGAAGCTAAAAGTAGCTAAAGGAAGCTGAACTCAGCAAAAACTCTGAAAAAGCTGAACCAGAACAAAAGCTGAAATGAGCTGTAAAAGGTTTTAAACGGCTCAAAGTGTTTGAAGGACTTGAAGAGCTCCATTCTCAATGAGAAAAACATGGCCGACAAAGCTAAATATTTCAAAAAGTAAAAATTACACAAAGACCAAAAGTCCCAGCAGGAAAACCTGAATGAGCCGAAGGTTTTGAAACGCGAATTGTTGAAACAGAACAAGTTAAGTGCCGAAAAACATTCGGACGACAAACGGATCTGAACAGGTTTTAGATTATTTCATTAAAATTTGTTCAGTGGTTCATAAAATATTTTGCTAACAGACGCAGACTCGGGCTGAATCCCTAATTTCCATGGATGAAAATCAAACGAGCCGAGAGCACAAAATGAGGCGCGGCACAGAAGAACCTTGGGTTAGAGAAGTTTACTCTGAAAAAGTAGAGCACCAAACAATAAACTCTTGGTGGCAGAAAAGAGGCACTCCGTCCAGACGAACCAGTTCCAGACAAACAGCTCGACGACCGATCGGCTCCCCTTCGAAACAAGAAAACAGCCGAGAGGCCACAGGAGTTGTCCTCGGTGAGCTTCACAGACATGAGGCACGATGCAGAAGATGAAAACACAAAGTAAAACTCAACGCACTTTACTTCCCTTCACATTTCATCAGCAGCTGTACGAATAAAAAGCAAACTTAAAGCAGCGCACCTTTCATTTTTTATGTAAACACGAGCGAACAAAGTTATCTTTTGAAATTCTGACACTGAAAGATATGACCAGATGATTCCAGATGTTTTGAACCAACACTGTGCTTCGTTCACCCTCTTAAACCGTCCGCTTTCACTTCAACTGCAGTTATTTGACCTCTTACGGAGGTCAAAGTAATTCACATAAAAACAATTATTTAAATTCAACACTGCAAAAATAGTTTAAATCATTGAAATACACATATGTACATACAGAGAGTTGGAGCTTGAGCGCTCGACCCGCGCTCTTAGCATCGATATTTTAGGCTTTGATGTAGTCACCGTTACGGATTTACACGGAACGTGACTCTTTGTCATCAAGTGATCGTCGTAGCCCCTTGGATTTATTTATGTGCGGCACGAGAGACGTGGAAAAACAACTGGAATGTTTCAAAAAACCCACGAGAAAAAAAAAAAAAAACGAGGGGCGCAAGTCAAAGATGGAGAGATGGAAATGCGTCTTTTTTTAAAACTCGTGACGAACGCTCCACGTGGGAAAACGAGAAGCAGAGACATGAGAAGCAACGCTCGCTGCATAACTGCTGCGTAAATACAGATATACCATATAAATAGTAGTCAAATGTTTACCAGTATCAATAAGTGCTTATGTTCTAATATATAAATACATCTTACAGTATGCATAATTACAGAATCACTTCCTCTAGTGTTGTGCAATAGCAAATCCCATGCATTTGAACAAGGATAAAAACCAGAACGTTAAGAAAAATGCAACATAAATCTCTTTTTTTTAAGATCAGTTCACAAAAATCCATCTGCGTCCGTCCTGCAGAAGTGAATAAATCAAGAAAATAAAGAGTCCTCCTTGGAGCAAACTCTCTGACACTTCTTCATACAGCCCAGTTCTGAAGCAGTTGACTAGATGTGAATAGAAACAGAAAACAATCTTTGCTAATCTCCTAAACCCGTATTTGATTCACTGCGAACACATCAGCTGTTTCAATCAAGACGTTGTATAATTTTAGAAAACATGTTGAAATTATGGCAGCAACAAATCTTTAAAAAGTTGCTGCAGGAGCAACAAAAGGCTTTAAAAATAAGTGTAAACAATAAGAAACATCTGGGGGAGACATTTTACTTGTGTTAATTAATAGTAAAAGGACCGAGTGTGAAAAGAGACTTTCAGAAGTAAAGATGGGCAGAGGTTCACCAGTCTGTGAAAAACAACAAAGAAGCAAAACTGCTACACAATAAAGTTCTTCACTGGAGCAATGGAAAAACTTCTAATCTCCCAGCATCTCCAGTTCACGCTGCTAACAGGACCACAGCTAACAGGAGTATGCTGCTAAAAGGACCACGCTGCTAACAAAACCAAACAGCTAACAGGACCATGCTGCTAA